GTAAACAAATACAAAATATTTAAAACTTTTGCTAATATATTTATACAGCATAGACTTACCATTTCACAGTAATCTTTTTTCTTTAATACCTTCAAATATAATAATTATATGAAGGATCCTAGAAGATCTTTGTTGTTTATAATTTTGATATTTTTGATCTTAAAATTTTAAAATGCATCAACGATACAAACGCGCAAAATTGCGTAAAGCATGATTTATAGATTTTGCTGTTTCTGCCCTAAAATTTAATAAATTTATGTAAAAATTTCATATATCAATTGTTCAAATATAAAACAATATAAAACATTACATATTTAATGTACCTTGTAACCGTATTGTGAAACTCAAACAATTGTTCCGGTTGTGCTGTAGGAGAACCACCTGCATTTTGTGATGGCATGGTTTTAATGGCTTCTTCTAACCATTTGGATAATAGCTAAATAATATTTTATTTAATAAAATAAATAATTAATGATATTTTAATTATAAAATAACATAATTAATAAATTTTAATTAATAAAAAATTATTATATCTTACTTGTCTATTAGTTAATGAAAGTTCAACAAAAACATCTGCCACATCAGATAACATGTAGGATGATAATGAGAATACAGATGCATGAAGTAACCTTATGACTAATGTCTGGCCTTTTTCTTTTAATACACGTTGTACTAATTCCCGTCGTATTGTATAATCCGTTCGATTCTTGAAAATAAAAACAATAATACAAATTTATTAATATTAAAGTATAAAAAATCAAATTTTCTTTTAAATACCTCATAATTTCGACCACAGTGTAACAAATCATAAAAAAATTTCATTACTGATACATTTGCATCCCTATGGTCTAAGCTACAGGCCATTAAGGCACAGTCAATTATGCTTTCTATGACAACAGAGCACAGAAAAGGTATTGGAGCTCTTTGAAGAAACCTATTTATTAAAAATATAATTGTAACATTTAAAGAACAAGATTATTTTTTAATAAAATATATACCTGGCACATAATCTGAAAAGATCATCTACGGTATCAGGATGGTTTTTTAATCCATCTTGTTGTTGAAGAATATTAAAAGTAGGTCCAATAAATGCCTCTAACATTTTTAATAAACCAGAAACACATTCCGAATCTGTAGCATATTCATCAACTAATATTGAACCAAGATATAAAAAACAACTATGTTGATGAGCTGCATATAATTGCACAATCTGAAAATTTATGAAATAATAATATAATTCTATAATCTAAAATTTATATACAATAGATACCTGTTTTACAAGCGGTTCAAGAAGATGGGCGGAATGTTTTCTTACACAACGAACAGCAAATCTTAGACAACGACAACATCTTTCCATTAATTTTGCATCATGTTGATATGTTGTGCATACATTTGATAATATGGGCCACATCTATATAAACAATATATATATATATAAACAATAATATCAGTATAAAAAAGTGTATGTGTCATGAATTATTATAACATTCAAATTAAATTATTATTATTAAACCATAAGACATACTTCAGTAACAGCACTTTGACAAGGATGAGGTTCAAAACTATCTTCAATTGGAGGGTCAGTATGTCTAAATATAGCAGCTAATCTGTCTAACCATATCACAGGATCAGTCTTTGTTCCTACTTCAATGGGGATTCTACGTTCCATAATCTCACACAATGGTCTCGCTTGAAACCAACATAATTCTTTCATAGCTTGTGTAAGTTTTTCACGTGGTAAGCTTGACATAATTATTGCTACTCCTGTTTCAAAATAATAGATATTGCGTTAAAATTTTTATTTATCAACGTTTATATTATTATCTTACCTTTAAGCAAACCAATAGCAGCATCATTACTGATAGCAAAATTATCAAGAGAACGTGCTATTTGTAATAATCCTGGAAAATGTGAAGCCATATGTGATGGACAAGCAGTACATATACTTAATAATGCACCACAAGCTGCACTTCCTAAACCTTTTTGATTTAAGCAGGTCAAAAGAAAATTCAAAACAGGTTCTACAATATTAATTTTAAATTATTTATAATAAATAGATATATTAAAGCATAATTATTTTTAAACATTACCTAGAGATTGACGATGATTGTCTATCCACTCACAAAGTTCTCCTAATAATAGAATACTTGTATGACGAACAGCTATATGAGTATTTTCTGGTAAATTTAAAATGGCCTCTACTACTTTCGGTACTACATCATTTTCTTTTCTGTATACAAATATTATTTGTTGAATCATAATAAAAATATTATTATAATTAAATATAAAAATCTTTATTATATTAGAAAATTACGGTAAAATATTTTTTGCCACTGCTTGCATTACAAACAGAGCAGCTTCAGTTGAATCCCATGTAGGTACATGATTAGGCTGACCTTGTGGTCCTGGACCACCTGTCAAAGATGAAAACATTTGTCGAAAACAATGACTACTTCCAACTACAAATACAACATCCTTTATTAAATCTGAAACACGATTTCTAAAATCTGCAAATTCTTCTCCACCAGCTCCCTCTTCTACTAGACCTAACTGTTAAAAGAAATTATGTATAGAATATCTTTAGAAAAAAATATTTAAATCATTTCATTTAAATATTAAAATACTAACATGATCTGGTTCCATTTGACAATGCCTACATAATGCTCCAATTAATCTTTCAATATGAGGTCGAAATACTGCATTAAGATCATCGCTATTTTTTTGATAGAGAATTTCAGATAAACGATACCATAAATTGAAAGTTATTTGTGCTACTTCATAATCATGATGTCCAACACATACTAAGACAAGATCAAGAATTTTAATAGCATAATGCTGTTTTCCTCCTGCACAACCATTTACTATGGTTTCTAAGAAGGTTTCAGCTAATTCCGTAAAAATTCGACAATAGTTTATCGACCTAAACAATTTATATAATGATTAAGTAAATATTTTAAATAATTAAAAGTTGTATTATTTCTTTAATTACATAGAAGAAATAAAGTTTACTTGTCCATATCTTCATGTGCAACAGATAAATGATATGGTTGTTCTAAGGTCATTACACTAGTAAAAAGAAATAATTGTAACTGTTGTAATTGTATATTAGATTCGCTATTATTATCCTGATTACTATTACTGTCTTCTTCCAAAATTTGCAGAATTACACATATACAATCTGCAGCTGCTTCGTGTAATTGAGATCCAGTCATATGATTTCCAAGTATCTAAATAATGATATATAATACTGTATTTAAAGTTTATTTAAAGTTATCAGATATTTATCTAAAATTATGAAATATTAATATTGATGAAAAAATATATACCTGAAGAGTATATACAATAACATCACTTGTAGGTACAAGAGGTATAGCATGTACTGCAATCCAACTTGTAAAACATCTAAGAATTGTAACACGGATTTGTACATTCTCTCCGCCATTTTTTAGACACATTTTCTAAAAATATGATAAAAATATGAATATAAAATATTAATATAAAAGTATACTTTCAATCTTTTTCAATTTTTCAAAACATACCAAAAATTCTGTCACTGTATCTGCACTTGCATTAAGTTCAAGCAATATATGTTGTCTGCGATTAGCTCCTAATCTATAAAATTATATAAAATTAAAAAAAAAATTCTTTACAAATATCTGTAAGTATATGTATTTAAATACCTAAGAGATCTTGAATTTACTTCTTCTGGTAATACTGTCATTACTTCAAGTAATGGCCATAAGCTGGCAGTTGATCCGCCAAATCTATTAATTAAATCCACAACTGGTTTTTCCCATGTACACATTTGTAATGCAAGATCTGCTAATGCTAAACATAACTATAATAATAGTTTTTATTATTATAATCATATATACGAAAATATAAGTAATATAAAAAAAAATTATATATCTGCTAATGCTAAACATAACTATAATAATAGTTTTTATTATTATAATCATATATACAAAAATATAAGTAATATAAAAAAAAATTATATATAAACCTGTGTAACAATAGCAGAATTGGTATGTTCATTAATTTGTGATATGTGATTCATTAAAGAATCTCTCAAAGAAGTATGAGCTTCTGGAGGTAATTCTTGGAAACATAATTGTATTTTGGTACGCATTGTTTGTGCAGCAAAATAACAAGATTGAAAATCCCGTTTTTGTTGCAACATTTCATCTGCTATTTTCCATGCAAATACCTAAAAAATTATATAAATATAAAAAAATATTATTATTTTTATATTTTTTTTAAATTACAATAATATAAAAATAATATAATATAAAATTAAAATCTGTTATACATAAGGTTAGAGATTATTTGATATATCTATATTTTTTAATTTAGAATTTTATACATTTATATCATAAAATTATTAAAAATTATATCATCAATGGTAGAAAAAATTGTAAAATACAATGCATATAAAAGTATAAAAATATACAATAATTATAAAAAACCGTTAACAAATAACTTACTGATTTTTGTAATTCATCCAACCATTGAGATATTTTTCCTGGCCCCGAAGGATTTGAATTATTATATAAAGAATATACAGCCTGGTAAACTGTTTCCAGGTCAGGCGGAGACTCCATTCTTCAAAAAATATTTATTTTCCCGGTAATATCCATACACACAGTTAATTTCTATTGACAACAAATCACTCGCGTTTTATACCGCGTTACATCCGATCTCCAAATCCAACCTGTACAACTACAAAAAGTTTCTTGTTCACACTATCAGCGCATATTCTGCTTTATCGACTTACAGCAAATAGTAATATCTATTAAAACTTGATTGAACAATATAATTTAAAATACATGCAGTTTTAAAAATAATCATTAATAAAAAAATCTTTTTTTTTACGTGATTCCGTTTATATCATTAACCTATATATTGCAATTAAAATTATATCTATTATATCTATTATAGGTTTATCAATCACAATTCAACTATAATTGTATATCAACTGTTTGTATATATAGTTATAAAATGGAATGTACTAACACATATTAAAATTATGACTGAATTTTGATCATGATCTATTTAAATTATTTTTACTTGATATTTATAACTTAGGAATTTTCAAATAGTTTGTAACGTAATACACCTTTAAATATCCCGCCGTTTGTACGTTATCCGTAGAGAAGATGTGTATGTGCTACAGCTGAAGGATTTCTGTTTTTAGTGAATGCATACTTTCGTAAGTCCTACATGATCCATGGAAGCAATGCGTTAAAAGTTTGACGTTTGACAGTTGGACAACAAACAAGAAATAACATTTGAAACATACCATGAATGATTACAAAATTCCAATAATCGAGCCAACTATCGATTGTACAAAGGTGTAAACATTGGTGTTTTCATTGTTTTTTTTTTTCTATTACTTATATATAATAATAGACAATTTTTTTTATACTTTTTTATTACTAGGTTCCACCAATTAATCAGAAAAGAACGATTTCTTTTATTAATCATTTTATTGTGCATACTGTAACATTTCTTAATAAATTTACATTATCATGTGAAGAAAGACTATTACAATTTGAATATAAATTACAAAGAATAGAGGCTTCATTAGAAATTTTAGAATCTTGGGTATGTGATATTTTATTTATGTAATTATATAGATAATTATATAAATGAATTAATTAAAAAAAATATTGATAATATTTAATAATTTAATTATGTTTTCATAGTTATCATCAATCCCTGGCTTGGAACAAAATCAAAATACAAAAAGTACAGAAAATAATGATAATAAAGAAGAAAATGTATCTAAAATAAATGAACCTGATAATATTAAACAAGATGTTCCTAAAGATACACAAACTGAAAAACAATTAATAAACAAAGATTCACGTTATGAAAAATATTTGAAAATGATACATTTTGGTGTACCAAAAGAAGCTGTCAAATTAAAAATGGAACAAGAAGGATTAAATTCATCTATCTTAGAGTAAGTTTTATTAAATGTTCTAAAATTTTCATAATTGAAAAAATATTTAAGCTTAACTATAACAGAATATAAAAATTAATCACTTATAATCATTTGTAAAATACTATATTTTAATATAAAAATATATATTTAATACAATAAATAAATATAATATTAAATAATAATTGATTAATTTTGTAATCAAATATTTCTAACTTTGTTTGTTGATTCATATTACATATTATCTTTTATGCTAATTCATTAACATTAGTGTTATTTTTTATATCAGCAATGAATCCCAACAAGTAATCTCTAAGCAGATATCTACAGAAAATGATAAGGATAAAGAAGATTAAATATTTAGTTATATTAAATTTAATATACTAATTGATTATATTAAAAAAAAAACCATGTGACACATTTTTACGTTATAAAACACAATTAATAAAATAATATAAATACAAATATTCAGAAGATTTATTTCATATTTTATTAAATACATTTAGCAAGTTTATATATATAACTTCATCTTAAAACTGAATCATTTGTCCCTGCAATGAAACATTATTATTATTATTATAAATTAATAAATTAACAAATTATATAAAATACTGCAGATGAAAATTATATATAATATATATTTACCTTCGTTTTTTATCACCTCCTAATTCAAAATGTTTACATCTTTTAAGAGGAATTTGTTTTCTATATTTGCATTCTGTACATTCCATTCTTAATACAATCTTTTTTGTAGTTTTTGCCTAAATAAATAATATGAAATTATCAAAAATTATAAAATCATAATTATATTAATAATATTAATGTCACTATATATTCAAAAATATACTTTTTTCCTAAAAATGGGTTTAGTTTGTCCACCAAAACCTTGTTGTTTACGGTCATAACGTCTTCTACCTTGGGATGCATGACGTTCCTTACTTTTTTTATACTGTGTTACTTTATGTGGTTTATGTACTTTACACTTTTTACAGAAAGTGCGCCTCTGTTTCGGCACATTTACCTAAAAATATAAAGAATATTCACAATATAACAATTTTATTTTCTTAAAAAAGAATTAAAATAATAAATCCTAAATTCTTTTATATTACACAATTTTTTATGATTTATATTTCTTTTTTATTCCTTTAATCCTTATTAATATTAATTTATTTTTTTTTTAATTTTTAAAATAGATATTTTAACATAATATCATTTTAGAGGTTATGTTATTATTATTATAACTTCTGTTTCTATCTATAAATATCATAAAATATTTATATTATTGCTTTACAAGTATAATATATGTAATAAAATTTAGATCTATATGTAATATTATTATAAGATTATCATTAAAATTATAGATAAATTACGAATATTTTCAATTAAAGATTTACCTACCATGTTGGACGTTTAGAAAGAAAAGGAAATATACTTGGAATATACACCGGAAATTGATATACATATATATTTACGCATGCGCGCATTAGACTATGTGAAAAAATCAGAAATTTAATATTTTTTTTTTATTAAAACATATAAATATTAATGGAATATCTAAGATAATATTGTTCTATAAAATTTCTTTCATATTAAATCATGGTAAAAATGAATATAACTATTTTTATTTCGTTTAAATATAAAATTTCAATTGCATACACGCCATTAATAGTCGGCATCAAAATTGGTTTAATATATAAGACGTTCAATCAATAACAGCAATTATATGTTATAATGTTTCTTTTACTGTTGTTTTTTAATCAATTCATGAGCTTTAATGAATCATTCTGTATTATAATAAAAATTTCTGCTATTTATTCAAACAAATATTAAAATTAAAAAATAATACTTAATACATGAAAGAAAAAACAATATTAATATGTAATCATTTTTCTTTTGTTACGTTGTCTTTGGTTACGGAAACGAATAATTTATTGTATAAATAATTAGGTTAATTTGTAATAATCATAATTTGTTTTTATTTAACGTAATAAACAAAAGTTCATTCATATTTGTTATATTTGAAAAATATTTTTCATAAATAAAAATTTAATAAACTAATAGTAATATATTTGACGTTGAATTTTGAGTGACAGGTGTGCGTCTGCGTCATTCAAAAAGCTTGGTTCTTTTATGTATAGGATAATTCCCGCCATGATCTTTAAAGCATGTTATTTGAAATATCCATTTTAAATTAATAATTTTTAAAGTATATATAAAATAATTATTTTCTTTATATGAAATTTATATTGTATCTCTTATATGTTTTAATTTTTTTTATAAAGAAAATATATAAAAGATATAAATGTTCTTTAGCGATAAAACTTATTTGAATCAAGCAACATAGCCTCGAACCAGACGGTAAACTCAGGCCACGAACTCTCGAACCCCTCGTCCTCCGCAGGATCTAATTTTATTTATACGTCAGGTGGATGGATTACGTGGAAAACTTTCATAAGAAATAATAAAACATCATGTAGTGTTATAACTTTTCCAATTAGGTGCAGTGGCACGTCGAAAAAGGATATTATGATTTCAACCAATCAGACATTTATCGAGTTTCAAACCCGCGCCATCTTCATTTTTGAACAAAGCCAGGTTGGATGTGCTAGGAGCGAGCTGAGACCGGGTAGTAGTCCGCTTTGCGCTATTCGCGCCACAGTCGTCAGTTCACGACGCTCTCCACTCCTGACTGGTTGGTCTCTGTCTCACCTTCCTTCCCCTCTTCTTTCCCTCTGCCCCTTGGGTTTTCGCCTGACGACGCTGCTCTCTCGGGCATTTCGCCGGAAACTGACGCCGCGCGAGGGCACGAAGTATCGTTACGTGTACACATTGCTCTACCTTTTTCATCGTTTATAAGCAGACACGCAGGCATCTTGTCCATCACACATATCCATCATGAGTAGCAAAGAAAACAACGAGATCGCTGTGGAGAAGGTGACTGAGAACGACAAAGCTTCCGGAGACGCGAAATGTGAGATCAAAGGAATGAAGAGGCCAGCCGAGGTGAGTTGTCTTGCTTTTCCCACTTGATTTTTTAAAATACTTTCTCGACCTTTTTCACGATTGTACGTAGGCATACACGTACACATGAAAGCACGTACACGCCGGCTTACACCATGCTTCCGCGCCACGCTGCTTGATCACAGCATTGTCTACGATTTCAAAATCATATTTATATAAGTCGATGAAAGTTCATGAATATTCTTTTAATTAAATTTTCGTGTTTTCGAGTTTTATAAAAATGGTTCGTATTTTATATCTTAGAGTAATGAATTTGTATTCTATTCGCAATATCGTATTCTCGAGGACAGACGAGTGGGCGGGCAGTTGAGTGTCGTTTCAACCGATTGACGGCATGGAAAAGAATAGGATGCCGGCCGGCATTTTCATTAGAATTCATATTTTTACAATATTAAGAAACTTATTTGTTTCTATATTTTTCTTTAAATTATAAAAAACTATCTAATTATGATGTTTTCTCGATTCAAGCTAAGGGACGCCATCGTATTTCGCGTGGCTGCCACGAGCACGATGGTTTAGCTGATCACCCTTATTGTTAGAGCCATTTATAATTACTGATCTAATTAAAATCAGATTCAATATTCTTATATTTTTATTTTGTGAATGTAAAATTCGGGCGGGATCTCAATTACTAACGCCATGTGCTTATTTCGTACATTTTTGTATTGTGCATTCTCGAAGCGTTCTATAATTCTGTAGAATTTTGTGAAAATTTTGTTGAAAGCATAGTTTATATTACTTGGCATTCTTTCTACAAAATGGACGCCATTTTTTTTTATCTAGAATATCAGTGTTATAGATAGGAAAAGCGAGCATCCCGCGCATTTTTCCGACCGCCGTTGCTGCCGCCACCACTACCGCTGTGGGTTTCCATTATGGCGCCCGAAACCAAGCCCGCGTTCGTTGTGCTTTCTCGCTTACTCCTTCTATCTTCTCCTTCCCTCTCCTCTCTCTCTTTCTCTCTCTTTCTTTCTCTGTCGTAATTGATCGATAATTCGTTGTAAGAGGGTTAATCGTGTCTGACGGACGATCGATAGACACACATATCTCTTTCAGGTCGACGTGTTGCTCTGAAATTGTTTACCGATCTGCGTGCATAAACACCGCGCTGAAGGCTTCCTTTCTCGCTTTGCTTCTCTCTCTATCTCTCTTTCTCTTTTTCATTCTCAGTCTCTCTTCCCCTCTACCTTCAACTCTGTTGGTGCTCTCTTCTCTCTTTCCATCAAAAACCCCACGCGCGCAGCCAACAGTAACGCCATGTATTATATACCCATGTCTCTCCTGCCTCCCTGTTCTTTCGTAGTATACCGCGTAGTGTTACGAACCTTCGAGAAAACATCGTTGCGATTTTTCATCTTAAATCGGACCGTCATTCGGCGTTGTGATAGGAGCTGCTTATTTTTAGTCGATAATACATTATACGTCTGTTACTATGGAAATTACAAGGTGAAATTCGTGGTCAAAAATGCCGGTTATCCACGTTTCTCAGTCTATATTATATAGAAAGTCATGGAGGCGTCTTCGCGCAACAGCAATAGTATGTCACGTGGAAAGTACGAACGTATTTGTGTGCTTCTAAAATGCTTGTAATATCCCTATTACTATTATATTTTATAATGTTCGTTTATTAAAAAGATAAAATCTTAAAACAGCATTCATTTTCTTATTTCGTTTCAATTAAATTAAGAATTATTAATTCTTCGCTAGTTTCATATATATATAAGCTTCATTTTCATTTAAGATTAATATATTAATATATTTATGATTGTGCAACATATATTACTTCAATCTCATAGATTTTATGACGCAAGCGCATATAGATCATAAAGAATATGGAAGTAAAGAAAAAGGCGGGAATTTCAAATAATATTTAAATTTTTATTTAATTTAAATAACAAATTAATATTTTATTATTTCTCGTTTTGATATTTTATTTTTGGAACAGTAATATTTTTTCATAATATTTTGTTCTTTATATTTTTTTAATTTATACATATATTTTCAAATTCAATAATTTCAAATCTAATAAGAATATTATAAAAATAAAATAATTATTATTTTAGAAATTAATTAATCATTTATAATCTTATTTTGATTTAATGACTTAATAAATTTATTTTTGGTTCATTTATTTTGTTTTTTATTGGCAAGTAAAATGCTTCTAGTAATTCAATATGATCAAATTAATGCGTGTTACAGAATTATATAACGATTGTTCATGACTTAGTCGTAGAGGCGAGAGAAATGAAATAAGTTTATATGATAGGTTATGAACGTTAGGTTATCTGTAAAGACCTCGTGATTAGTAATAAGTTGATAGGTAATCGTGTTTGTAGGATAACAAACAAAATTTCATGGGCATTGTTGGTATGTCACTATCACTTGTTCGTTATAAACTATCCGCTAACGCCATGAATATAAGTAATAAGAACAATGGTAATAACAATAATAGTAATAGTAGTAGTCAACAGATTTGAATTCGAAGAAAGCGTTTCAAATTTCAGTCATAACATCGTAGTATCTGAAATAATGTTTTTACGAATAATTAGTTCTTTTTTATCATTTAATGGTTTATTTTAAATTTTTATATATATACTTATATTTCATAATTTTTTAATGGTTATTATAAAAATATTAATTATTGATTATTGAATTTATATATATTGATATTTGTATATTATACTAAGTATTTAAGTTATGAAATGAGATATTACGTTTCATTTGATAAAGGCATTTGATAATACATATGATGAGACGATTACCTTGAAACAATTCGTATCGACTATGTTAAAATTTTCATGATCATCTAGTAGAATTTCTATATTTAAATATATATATTTTTTATATATATTTATTTTACGATATAATATACAAAATATATATAAATATTTTTTATTTATATGATAGTAGCGTCTATAAGTTGTATGTACGATATCCGGACACGCTGCTTCATGTTCCTCTTTTCCCCTCTTTCTCTTTCGTGTGCTTTACGCAGCACGAACACATCCCCTTCTACAAACATGTATCGTAGTCGTCTGCCAATCCCTACGTTTCTCCCACCATCTAGTCTTAGTTCATTCGTCCCTTTGATTGGATGATGCAGTTCTGCAAGTTTTCTATGCTGCTTTCCTCGTACCGCCGATAGACACAGCGCGTGTATGCCATTACAGCAATCTACCCTGGTCACGGGTAATGCTGTATGAACATGGGTTAAAGTATCGATATTTCAAGAATCGTGTGAAGGATACAATTATTGTGTTTTTTATCTGAAATAAAATTTGATATCATCCTCTTAAATTATTTATGTCTCTAGTTTTACATGAATATAGTTTTGATAAGATTGAAGTTTACGATAGGCTTTTGTTTTAAATATGTATGAAGAATTAAACGTATAAATATATAATATATACATATATTATTAAGCTATTACATAAATAATTTTAGTTAAAAATTTTTTCAATACATATTTTTATATCGCATATATTTCATATATTGTAATTTTTTTTAAACTAATTATATTATCATGAATTTTATGCTGAATAATATTTAATATATTTATATCGATTTTAACTTTAAAATTTTTTTTGATATTTTGATTTTTTATTTTTATCTTTCTATAATTTTGATCTTTAAGATTTTTTTCTTCATCAAAGAATTTTTTTTTTCGTTTTTTTTCTTCGCCATATTTAAATGAAATATCCATTTTTGTTTTCATATCTTTATATTTCTTGGCGGGAAAGAAATTTTTTTGTCCATTTCTCCTTTTTCTTTATATTTCGATTGTTTTTGAATATTTTTTGAATATTTAAATGAAAATAAATTAAAACATTTATTTTTAATTATTAAAAAAAATTAAAAAAAATATTCAGTGACTATTTAAATATATGATTGCAAACAAAATTGAAATAAATATTGCAATAATAAAATGAAATATAATTTATTTATTTATTACGTTTTAGGAGAAAAATGATGAAACAAAAAAACAGAAGAAAGAAGAAAATGGTGACGGAGAAGTAGAAGAAGAAGAAATAGAAGAGGAAGTTGAAGAGGAAGAAGAAGTTGATGGCGATGGCGAGGAAGATGACGAAGATGATGATATACCGGAAGGTGAAGAAGATTTAGAAGAAGGAGAAGGTGAATTATAGAATTTTTTAGTGTTAAAATTTTTTGTAGCTTCGTATAGCAATAATATAGATAATTATTAAGTCATTGAATAAAAATATAAATTCTCTTGTTTATAGATGAAGAAGAAGATGATGCAGAAGGTGAAGTAGAAGGAGAAGTAGAAGATGAAGAAGAAGACGCATAATGAAAACAGGGAAAAGAATATGTAAGTAAGAAAGGAGGTAGGCACACGGTACCATCGTCGATCTTCGGCAGTCTTCTCAGCAAACACTTACTCTCATATTGAGTGGTTGGTAGCAATGTTGATTACCTCGTGCCCAGACCCTATTGCCTCCCGACCTACGAATAAAAATTACCACCTTACCGGAGTTGTGGTGGGCTGACACAAATTAGAGGCAGCCGCAGTTCTACTGTCTTGGCTCTTCGCAATTCTGGTCATCTAGCCATCACCAAATGCTATTAGATAGTTTGAATGAAAACTATATATTCGTCATGTGGGATTTGAACGTGTCGATTTAATATCTAAGTCCTTCGTGCATATTCGTACGTTTGGTATATTAAATATACTCCCAAGACGAATTTATTGTTTTATCCAAACCATCTATTAACTGGTATTTGCTGTCATTTGGCTTTCTTCGCGGGACAGTTTTATAACGAAAACTTATTTAAGATAAAAAGCTCTATTGTATTTAAATAATGTAAAATGAACATTTGTGGGTGATGATTTTTTTACATTTGAAATCAAATTTACGTTTGTAGTTCAACGAATGTCTCTCACCTTGTGCGCGTGATTGATTTCTTTTTCGACCTATATGTGTATTTGCAACGACTTTGTAGGAGCGCGAGCGGTTAAAAAAATAAATAAAATGGATCAAGTGGTGCGTAAAGAAATAAAAATAATAAATAAATACTATAATAAATAAATACTGGACATCTCTCGACATTCTTTGTATATTAAAAAGAAAAAAATGAAAAAAGAAAAAAGAAAAGATTTTAATGATCTTTAAAATCTCTGCTTCGTGCTCCTGTTTGATCCGAAAACAAAAATTAAGATTAATATAACGCTCGCGCTAAGTAGTGTGGATGAGTCATGTGTGTTCTTAACATTGCATAATAATTATACATAGTATGTATAAAGTTATGGAATAAGAAACATTTTATTATTAATGATAATATTATGTAACGTAATGTATTGTGGAGAGGTTGTTACAATTTAGGCTTCGAGTATATAGAGTAGGGAGAGAATTTTTATTTTATAAAACATAAATGATACAAATAATTTGTTTATTTCTCCAAAATGAATATTCCATTTATTCATATCCTTTTATTATATATCCTTTTTTTGTATTTACGTAAGATTTCAAAACGAAATTACGTAGCGCATTTCAAAAATCGTTGAAAATATAATGCAACAATTATCGACGATTAAAAAAATTAATGAGAAAACTCTCCCTATTCAATTGCACTCATTTGAACGTAATTCATTTGTATTTTATGTACTGTGGTTTTATTTTGACTTTATTGACATGGACTACTCGAGCAATGATTCGTTGACTGTCGTAGAACGGGTAACAGTATTCTTATATGACAGTATCTTGCATACAGTGATCAGTGTCTTATTAAAGACATATTTTCAGATTTATTAATGGTATCATATAATTTTTGATTACACATTTCACTGATTATCAACAATTGAAATATATATGCTCTTTGTGTTAGTGTCAGTGGATCTTTGCAAATGGAATGGTCCATGCCATCACTTATTTCGGGAGACTGGTAGACAAGAAACGGGTGAAGAGACATTGCGGTTACGATACCATTGTACCATAGCTGCATAATAAATAAAGGTAACGATAATTTGAATGCGAGACGATGTCCCACGTTTTAATGTACAAATATTTTCGAATGAGATAGTTAAATAAAACGCAGTTAGATCAGAGAAAATGATTCGTTCTCGTAAGTAGTAATGGGTTTAACTTCCGAAAACAAATTACAGTAATAGCAGTATTAAAATAAAAAAGAAAACTGCTATTTGTGGACTGAATCCTGCTACATTGAATCCAAGGAGATGGGATGGACTGTATACACATTTGTACGATAAATCCAATTTATTCAATTGATTAAATGAAAGAAATAACAAAATTTAAGTATACTCCGTATATAATGATACGTAAGTCATACAGCAATTTATTGCATTGTTTACAGACCATACCACCTCCAGAACTCTGTTATTCTACGATTTTATACACAATCTGCTGCTGTATTTACACGTGTTGACTTCAAGATAGTACCTTGACGATCATGTTGACAAAGAACTATCTTAAAGTACAGGTGCCTGAGCAAAAATGAGTACTTTAGCGTTCATAGTATACAATAATACACTGTAAGCATAGGTCCATTTAATTTTATTAATACAATAACAAGCCCCGTTTGCAACATGTTCAAAAGATATGAAAATGGACTTACGTTGTGTACTTTGAGCCAGAGATCACGGAACTCTTCTCTGCTCCAGTATTTGACGTGATTCTGAAAATTATTTACTGGTGCTAACGGGTCTTACAATCAATCAGGCTGAGCGCCCAGATACCGTTACATCCCTACATTTGTTAGATAAGCATAAAAAGAAGAATTTAAGAATCTTAATGAATCTGGTAATGAAACATGTCACGATTAAACGTAAACAAAATCTTAGGCTAAGAATTTGGTTTGTGTGTTCATAAGTCTTGTTCAAACTACTTTTGTACAGGATACCATCGCATCATCATTTTCGACATAACAGTAACCGATACCACAGACTATATTTCTGCCCATTCCATCAGAATTGAACTTTCATTGTATTTTTAAGTAAATACATTTTGGAAAACAACAGATGTTTTTTTATTCTTCACGTATTTGTGAAGGAACGCGTCTTTCCCTATTTAATACTTGATAATTAATCGACAACTTATTTTTTCGAAGATAATTTAGACTAAGATTGTTTTTACGTACCTTCTATGTACATATAAATTAAGAATTATGTAGTTATACTATGTAAATATAAAATAGCAATTTACAATAGAATATGTACGTAATATGTGATACACAAAATTAAATATTACTGAATTTCAATATCTATGTTTATTTACACGTATAATTGTATGTAAAATTATAATGTATTCTTAGATGTAACTGTATATAAAGTAAAAATATGTACTTAAGCATAATATTATTTGTATCTGATATTGTTTATTTATAAAATAATTTCTGTAATTAATAGTGATTTTAAGATAATGATACCGGATACCAGGTAAATTGTAATTGATAACAAAATATTACAAATATGTGTAAAATCTATGATGGAATGCAACCATAGTACATAATATTAAAATTTAAGGTAAAAATTTTTTTAAATATGAATCAACGTACCTGGACGGAATATGTATTGGAATTTTTAATTGGGTACATATTATTAGGAATATAGCACTCAGATATTATCCCTAATATAAAAATGATATACAATTTACAAAGGAATTTGTAGTAAATATATAAATGTGTAAAAAATAAAAATCAAACATTTGTATAAGAGTATAAGATGTGTAACAGAAATGTTTGCGGATATTTATTTTAGCTAAACAATTTGTACGAATATTGCATGCAGATTGTCTTACAATATATACACAATATTTTCTTTACTTATGAGTTTTATTGTATACAATAATAATTCATATTGAGACATTTTGCATGCATGTCAAGACATAGATTTCGATACATTTTGATCACAGTCACAGCATTTTGTATACTTAAATGAATATTTTTAATTCGTAATATTGAAAGTAAAGAATTTTAGAAATCATATAAAAATATTAACAATGTTTAAAACTTATTATCGAATGAAAAAGTAATTTAAAAAATTACACAGTAATATACTGCGATACAATCACAACCATTTAAATATTAATTACATGATATATTCATGCAAAGAAATTTTCTTTCAGAGAATAATATTTATATAACATATTTTTTACAATGTTATTAAGATTAATAAAATATACAGCTTTTTAGTCAACCTCCCGCGTTGGTTTATACATAGTATTTAAAGTATATAATTCCTGAATAGTGTTATTAGCAATTCTTGTAAAACTATCGGTCATGTTATTACTTTCTTCAATATTGCTTGATTCTGCATTTATTCCTTTATTTGTTTCCGGCTAGATTTAATTATAGATTTAATTCTTATTCATTAGCAAATGATAAATAGAAATTTGTATTAATAACATTATACGTACTTTGGTAGAATCTGAAATTGATAATCCACTGGATAGATTTTCAGAAAGACTAATATCAAGATCGGCGAGTTCTGTTGAATCAAGTTGAGGAAGACTCAAATCAAGATTATACTGTGGGTTGTCCATACTTAAAATATTTGTAACATTTGTCGCTTCCATTTCACCTACTATATGAATTATTTAAAAATTACAATGATGTATAGTTTGATATAATAATAATGAATATAAACACTTATACTACCAGCATTGTTCAACGATTGAAATTCTTCGTGATAGTTTGATGTTACTTTGCTTAACGTTAATTGTTCTTGCGGCTGTATTTGTAACGTGTCATGTACATATGGAAATTGTTGTTGTGTATACGTTCTGATTGATGGTTGTTGTAAGATATGACTGCTTGTTGATGGATATTGAGGTGATGGTTGTGATTGAATAAGTGCTGGATTGTATAATCTGTACTCCATTGGCGATGTACGATCTGGCGATACTTGTGGCCTGTACAACGTATTAAAATTTCTTCAGATCCATTGTTCTGCATATTATCTCATTTTTTAAATGATACAAAGCTTTGTGTTACCTCAACGTTTGTATAGTAGATTGTGATTGTGGAGAAGTTGTTGCCATCGGATACAAGGATGGAAAGGATCCTCCACTTCCAACTGGATATCCGTAAGGAGATATCCTTTCCGTCGGCTCTGATTTAATAATATTAAAATTGTATTGATTTAACATTGCAGCATCTACAATTGTGATAAAACAAATAGAAATTTATTACTACTAAAGACTAATTAAAATAATATAAGTTCATTATTCACATTTTGTTATTTAGCATAAACGATTTACATTTTTCTTGAATGTTATTTCAGTATATATTATATTAATTTTATTAATTTTAATAAATATATAATATGCTTAAATCAAATATTATCGAAATGAGTTAAAAAGAAAATACATAAAATAATTAAGAAGCATATAAAAATTTTAAAAGCATAAAAATGGAAGTGATCAAGCAACATATAAAAAGCAAAAGTTTGAAGTAAAAACGAAGAATTAATTACAAAAGATGCATGCAATTTTATATATTTTCACTCCAAATATTATTCGTGAAAAATTGAATATCTTTTATTAGAATAAAAAATACAATCAATATGATTAGCAAAATATTAACAAACTAAACTAATATTTTTATTGTCGTACCTGAATATTTTTTATATATAATATTCTTTTGATCTGAAATTGACTGGGAGCAGAATAAAAACACGTAATTTTCATCATTAAATAAGTATGTATGTATATATATATATAGATCAATATATTCTGTATATATGTATAAGTCATACATTATATAGATTTTTCTTTTTCAAAGCAGTTTATAAAAATTTGTATTGCCATACAAATATTGCACATAATTTCCGCTCTTATTATTATATTGCTGAATATTTAAATACAATATTTTAATACGAGAGCAGGATATTTGTATATTATTTAAAATGTAAAATTAAGCCCGCTTTTGTCAACGTTGTTATCATTAACAACATACTTTTCTCGTCGCATTAATGGATATAAAAATGCATCCATTCGTGCAATCACCAGTAATAATTACAAAAATACAATGTTTTCTCTTCAAATGTACAAGGCCATTGCCATCCAAAAATTTAAGTACAAATTCCAACTATTTATACAAAATACGTTTTTAAAAAAGTATAAAATAAGATTCTTCAGTGCGTGAAAATATATATATATATGTATATATATATATGAATATAGTATTTCTTAATACAATGAAGATTCTAATTCATGAAAAAATATCAATCTTTGCACAATGGAAATTTTTATATAGTTTTTTTATATCAATCTTTTAGATTATTAGGCACTATTGGACGAAATTCAACAGACAAAATATATAACAATAAATATAAGAAATTTTAAATTTAAATATTTCCAGTGTGCAAAGATATTAGATTAATTATATAGTTAGTATGACGTGACTTAAGAGCGCTGAAACATAGATATTTCGATAAATATATATTCGTGATTCATAAAAATGTTGTAAACATTCTCCAAATGTACAAGTTAGTCCAAGTTTTTGGAACTTCCAACAAATTTTTTAGATTCATCAATACAATTATTACAACAAATAGGGTTGATAAAACCCATCAGAAAAATGCATAACATGTTGATGACTCGCATCACAAAGTCTTACTAATTTTTTTTCTTGCATATAGAATAAATGTGAACGCGAATATTAGTAATTACAAAGAAGTAAAATCAGCAATTTCGCATAAATGTAGCACAATGTACATTTAGAAATTTTGACGTTGCGACGATGCTAATGATATCATTTAAACCCACTCCCGGCAAAGCTGTAGAATTGAAGACAATTTGATAAAAAATACTCACGCTTCTCAGCTTCTGCCTGTACATGTCTCAAAACTAGCGCGTTTTGGCTGTTATTAATCTTTTGTCTCTTTCGCCTTAACGAATCAGGATCATCTATAAATGATTGTATATTAACCACATGACTTTTAAATATTAATATATCAATTTTTGAAGACTGAAGACAACAAACCTATAAATTTTGATCTAAATTTTTTTTTTAATCTTTGAAGACATTATATTTAAACAAATAATTAAGTCAGTGGTTCAAAATAAGTATAAGTTACAAACAAATAAAAAATCTTAAATATAAATAATTAATTTTAACTATAAATTAAGTGCTTATTCTAAGACTAGAAACAAAGTAATGCCTATAAACTTGGAACACTATATAAAAACTTAACAATGTGTCATAAATAGTAAAAAGCAATGCACAAGATTGAAGATATGTATAATAAGTAGCAACACTATAAAATCTGACTAGAAGAAACACAAACTCTTTGATGATAATAACAAGTTTCAGCCGATTTTATATTTCAGCTATTTTTTTTATATAAAAGACTATAGAAATAAAATAACAATTTGTACTCTGACTAGAAAAAGTAGTACTGCATTGGTTTCAGAGTATATTAATCAAGGTAGCATAATAAAATTTGCTACATATATTTTTTTTAAAAAATGAAAAAAATATAAAATATATCTTAAGAACACAAACACACTTAAGTTACAAAACTTTCACATTATTATCGTAAATAAGCAATTTCATTCAATCATAATGCTTTTTGTTTCTGAAAATTAGCAATTTTTCTGCTATAACATCAGCAATTTTTCTGCTATAATATTTGAAAAAAAATATCACTCTTAAATGGAAGTAGGCTAAAAACACATTAAGACACATTAAGTCTCCTTTTTTTCAGAGTAAATCTTTCCATCTTCCACAGGACTATAATAGAAAGACATTTCATCAAATTCAGAAGCAGTTGCGTGCGGCGCCATAGCAGTATATAATGCATAATGTTCAGCTTCTGTTAATTCCATTCCATACGGTGGTGTTTCATCGCCTTCCAATCTAAGTGATTTTACGCTAGTAGTACTTACCATACTAGCTCTTGGAATTTGTAATTGTGAGTTATTTGATGTATTGTTTGTTGTCAAATATGAAACGTTTCCTGTAGTAGTCAAAGATTGACTAGTTTCTTTGGGTACATTTAAAATTGTGTCTTTATCTTTTTTCACTTTTTTTGCAAATAATTTTGAAAATAATCCTTGTTTCGAGTTTTTAGTTAAAGTACTAGGTAAAGAAGGTAAAGTTTTATTTGGTGCTTCAATGAAAGAATCTGGTGTAGTATGACAGGATATAGGACGAGGTAGAAGAGGCATAGAAGGCATTTTCCGGATACGTTTCGGCGGCAAAGGCGGTAATCTTTCTTCCGTTTCCTGCGTTCCATCTCTTTTCGTAGTCACTGGCGGTGAAGGACACGATTGATCTGTTTTTAGTACACACACATCTTCATATTTTCTTTCATTCGATAAATCGGTAAATTCAATAGGATTTTTCATAGCCATTTGTAAACTAGTATAAGTTTGATTATCGCAAACATCAATATCCATAGATTGATCGGTTGTATTCTGTTCGAACACTGCCTGCACTAATTTTGCATGTGTATCGGCATAAATTTGATCTAATTCTGCTACTTGTGTTAATAAATCATTGAAAGATTTATTACAATCTTCTGTCACTTCAATTTTAAAATCTATTTCGTTTTCTTTCTCTTTGAAACATATTTGTCCTTTTTGTACCCATTTACTCACTTCGGAATAATCGAACCAATCAGATTTATCTTTAAATATTTCTGTATTTTTTAATACGCACGCGTTTTCAACAATATTAGATTTAGGACGAGTTGAAATTTCTAAATTCATATCCTTTGTTTCTTTGTCTATATAATTGGGATAAGATTTATACATTCTATTTAATTGTTCGTTTTCTATAGTTCGTTTCTCTTCATTGATTGATAAATCATTATTTTGGTAATCTATAATAGTGTTTTTAGCATGATCTATATTTTGTGCAATATTTTGATTCATTTCCATACTTCCATTACAAGAATCTAATGTATTTTTTACATTGTACAAATCATTCAAAGCACGTAACGCAGAAATTTTATTATTCCATTTTTTTGTATCGAAATCATTATTGTTATATTCGTCAATATTACGCGGAAATTTCGGAGTAACGTTCGAAAACAATGTCGGTTCAGTAGCTAAAATTTTGCCAAATGAAGTGTAATCTGTTTTCTTCCTGGCAAATGCTTTCCGTAAAGACCAGAAAGCAGGCCTACCTGCACCGAGAGGTAACATCAGAAAAGGAAATGGTTCGCTCGTTGCGCCATCCGATGGTCTTTTAAGTTGAATGTATACTTGCACTGGTTGTTCCACTTGCTGCATACGATAAGTTGGTGTTCTGAATGCAATTGCTGTCTATTAAGATAAATCAATTTATCAAATTAATATTAATGAAGATACAAAATTTAAGTAATTTTATATAAAAATCGAATCTCATACTTGTTTATGTACATGAACAGGTTGAAAATCACCAAATCCTTCCCAAAGCACTTGTCCATCTTTTTCTTCAAAGAATCTAACTTGTATATCTTCTTTTGCAACCTTCTCACATAATAAAATCATTTCCATACCACCAGCGACTGATGCATTACTATGACTGAGTTTGCATATCACAAGATCTGACATTGCCTCTTAAATATTTAATATTTAATTATTTAATACATAATCAAATAATTGATATCTTAATAAAATATAATTAATTTGAACATACTTTTATCAAATATAGGATCAGATACTACTGGTTGTAGTGGCACATTGAATTTTCTTTTCTGTGATCCTTCTAAAAAGACTTGAAAGCATAATCTCACTGCATTGAGATCAATACTAGTAGGTTGTCTTTTGTGTTCGAAGCCAGCTATTAAAAAATTAAATGTGATTTGTTTTGTGCCAGATATAGTTAAATAAATCTACTGAATTTTAATTTACTTCGAAAAGGATCTACACGAATTTCTTCTCTTATTTTAAGCGCCTCTTCAATATCTTTTTTTTTTACACATTGAATCCCAAGATTTGCAAATGTAACTGTCATATTCTCTGATGAAACTTCTACTGTACAAACACCTTGTTTACATGCTTCCTTCCCAACAAGATTATGAGGATGAGGTCTATATGGTTGATCTTTTGTTACACATGATACTACAACTAGAGCTCGACCTTTATATCCAACTATCTGTAATCAGTATTAGTCGTTAATTATTTATTATAATTATATATTATTAATTAGTATTATTATATATTGTTTTTTTTTGTTCTTACTTTTATAGTAGGAAATGTTTTATTTTCTGATGTACTGTTTACACCAGGTATACTACCAGCTGATCTGCCTTCACATTCATAGCGAAAACGTAAAGCTTTGCTTGCCGGTTGTTCTATTATTTCAACATAAGGCAACAATCGTTCTGTGTTCATTTCTTTTGGGATTTGATCTTCCCTCCCATTATATTTAGTATCAGTTTCAATGACTTCAACTATATAAATAAATTATGAAATAATTGTTGAATAAAATATAATTTATAAAATCAATGTAAAAATATAATAAAATTTTCAATACTTACTGACATCACTCATATGTATATTTCCATCACTCATATCATGGAATTGTTCCATGCCTCTTATTGTTTAATACATTGAACAATAGTCATCTGAAAAATGATTTCTTATTATCTCATGTTATTAAATTAATGTTATTAATTTCTATTCTATTGTATTTTAATATTATACAAAGTTTTTTTTAACAATTCTATTAGAATAATTATATAGAATATAAAATGATTATAAAATAACAATATATAAAAAATTTTTTTTATTCTTTTATGTACGTTTTGAACATTTTATCAAAGTGTGGATAAAAATTAACTATATGATCTAACTCTTGACAGAAACTTCATAACATTATGTAGAAAAAATTTCGCGCGCGTTTAGTTAAGATAAATAGAAATATAATAATTTGACAGCAATAAATACCTAGGAAAAAATAAAATGTATAGAAGGAAAATTGATTTTGGGATCAATTTTTTTTGATGTAAAGAAAATTGAATGTTCATAAATTCATGAATCGTTTATCTTGATAGAAAAACATATTTATGTCGCAAAAGATGTCGTATAGATGATGATTGATGTAAAACGTGTTAGGCGTAACTTTTGATTAACACTAGCGAGTGAATCAAACACATATTAATGAACATGGATAAAAATTTGTTAAATCTCTAGCAAGCGAAACGACAGCTGTTCACAGGTATACTTCTAAAGACACTGCACACAAGTGTCCCAAGTCCCAAGGGAAGAGAAACGAGAGTAGAGTGAGGAGGGATGCCATGCTGATCCAATCATTATTTTGGGAAAGCCTAGCTTCGTACAAGCCGTGCAGCTATAATTAAACTATCGTAGGACAATGTGACGAGAAAGACTTGCCTGCAGCTTGATCAACATAGTAAGGCACTTTCGAATCTGAAAGCACGCGCACTGTTTTGGATAATTCTCCTAGTAGGAAATACTTATATTCTTGAAATTTTTTTTATAAAACACGCACTGTGCTAAATAAATTGAAGAAACGCAATGTGTTAATGTTTAGATCTATAATTGAAATTCTTTTATTTATCAAATATTGCTGCGCACACTATTTGCACGCGATATAAAAGCGTGTACTAGGCCGTGACTAGAGACAAGACTTTACGCGGCATAACATTTTGCTCGGACTTTGTATCGGTACTGACATGTCCGTTGCTTTTAATGGTAGAAGCAAAGCAATATGCTATATGCTTCGCGGATACGCGCAAGTACGCGTATCCTGACGGTTCTATACTCACAGCCAACTCAAAGTGAGCGAACGTATATTAACATGATATACTACCTTTCGATTATTTCCTTGAAATCCATAGATCTGATGACGTCGAATTTTTTAATATTTAATTCTTAATTCTAGTTCTCTTTATATTTTTCATATTATCTTTTATATTGATTGCATTTCTTGCATTTTTAAGCTTGAATTTGTGAGTTGAAAACCATTAATAAATTACGTATGTTCAGCGTTCTTTGGCATAAATGTATTAAATATCTTATACCTAAAATAAATTTATGTCTAAGGTTCAGCGAATTTATCATATGTAGATTAAAATTTTCAGGGACGTAGATAGGTTACCAGAGAGTAGGTACTTGGTGTCGGATGAGTCATGCAGACACGTCACATAATTCTGTTTTATCATGTGAAATTGTAGAGCGTTAGATAATCAATCATATCTATTTACTTGAAATTATATAAAATGTTATTTATTATAAATATTATGCTCGATAATATATATCATTTATATTTCTTTTATATTATAGTTTTGGAAAAATCAATTTCATCACATTTTTTGATCTTAATTATCTTTAAAAAATTTTCGTAAATTATTTATTATATTATATACAAAGTAAATTTGAATTTTTGAAACATTTTAGAATGTAAATAAAATTTACTTGCTTGTAATTTGCAATTATACTGTAAATAAGATCTATGATGCATTACATAAGTTTTAATCACTCCTTACGTTCATCGTGTTGTAGGTGTATTCAATTTATGCAATTCTATGAAGTAGACACGCAATCGTACGACAATTCATAAGTTATAGTAGTTAAAATAAGAAATTAATGGGAAAAGCATTCATCATGGACAATGTAACTTCTTTATTTGGTTAAAAATATTACTGTTACTATTTGCAAGAGCTACGATGTTTTTTTGTCATTTTACTCTCACTCGTTTTGTCTCCATGACAAGAGCAAACAACATTAATAATTTTTGTAAAGAGTTTACTCGTGAACTGCAAACGTGATGCCAGAAACTGCGATCACTCCGAAAAGTTCATCTTCCCTGAGTGTTTCAACAAGCTCCAGGGAAGAATCGAACCAATGTTTTACCAAGAAAAGATTGACGCGATGCATGCAACATAAATTTCTTACATATTCGCAACTTCCCATAAGATGTCAGAAACCCAGCCGATACTATCGTCCGCCAAGGACCTCCTTCAGATTGGCAAATCTCACAACCATCAATCATACAGCTACAATTAATACGGCGAAAAGTTGTCCGGACAGTTCAACATGTTCGATATTACGCGCAATCAGTGCGTCACGCTACAAAAAAAGTTTATCCATGATTGATTTTTCACCTTTAATAATGGACACTGAATATGGCGATCTTAGGTAAAGTTTATAGATAATTTATAATAATTTCAATACAATTGATTCTTTTGTAATATAGATCGGACAGTAGTTCAACTATAGAAAAACTTGATGAAAGTGATAAAATGAAAGATACTATTGGTAACGAAATTGGTATCGGTATCAAAAAGTGGATGGATGGATTCGTAACATCAGAGCCGGAGGAATCGTATTCCCAATTCTTTCAAAATCCAAAGAAAGCAGCAATTTTGGTGTGTCATATGCTTATGCTAAATGCATGGAGACGCAGACGTAGCGATGTTCAGTACCTTAACAACACAATTGACGATTTAAGCCAGCAAATTGAACATTTGCATTTACAAATTGTCGTTCTGCGTCGATTGCTCGATACGGAGAACAGTCGTGTCAGTAAATTGACCAGTGATGTTCACCGTGCCAAAATGCAATTTGATGAAGTACTGAAAGAAAGGAATACTCTGAAATCGGTAATCTTCTTAATGCGTATTCAAAAATTGATAAGTTTTAGCAATTATGTTTCGCATAATTAATTAATTGAAAAAAAAAAGTAACATTTTAATACGTATTTGTAATATAAAATAGTAACAATGTGCGCATGTTAGGAATAAGAGCTATACATTCAACATCTTGCGGACGATGAACATGAGAGTTCAATGACGTGTATCTAACTAGAGGGATGACGCTAGCATAAGAGCTCGCAATACGACTTTTGGGACACGCAATAATATATGTAGTTATAGAGACGATCGAATTTTCGGCATTCCTTGGATAAACAAAAATATCTTCCGAACAAGTTCAATAACTACAATTGTTATTTTTATATTAACAAAAATTTTCTACTTTTCATCCAATCAAATTTTCTCGTATATTTAAAAAGAATTAATTTGTTATTCTAAATACCTTTCACAATATTTGAAATGCATAAACATGCATTTATTTTGCGAAATGCAATGGAAGCATGCGTCGTAGTCGAGTCATTAATTAGTATATACTATATACGTAAACGAGAAGTTGGCACCGGTCCAGCAGCTAATTGTGAAGCGAAAGAAGAAACTGTATCACGACGACACAGCATAGATAAAACTGGTTCTAGATACTTTCGAAGATTTACGAAGTTTAACTTAGCATTGAGTTTTCACAAATTGGCTTCACCGTTTTCTTTCAGGAAAAAGTAAAATTGGATAAGGAGATCCAACGTTTGACCGATCTTTCCGAGGAGAGGCAAGTTTCAACGGAGAATATGCGAAACGAACTAATCACCGCGCAAAATCAGCTTCAAGCGGTCGACGAACAAATGTCAAAGGATCGAGAAAAGTTGCTGAAATTACGAGAGGATAAAAGGATACTTTTAGAAAAGGCTAGGACAGCTTCTTTTATTTATAAATTATCTTTAATAATAAATAATATTTATTGCAAGCTTACATACTACACCATCAAGTAAAAATTGATTTTTACTTGGTGAGTCATTGTTATGCTCGCGAGAAACGAATCTGCAAAGGGTGAATTCTCTTTCAATGCAGCTTTTTTTTTCTATGAACGGATGAGTCATTCGTTCACCCTTTCGTGCTTAGAGAACGATCTATAAAATGGTTACAACATATTTTTATGTTTCAAATTCCTATGATACAATTTTTTTATATCGGTCTTTATTTTTTGTTTGTTTTTTTTTTGTTGTTTATTTTTATTTTAATATCATATCTATGGATAATAATAAGAAACTGATGATAGTACTTTAGATAGGTCAATGCACGAAAGGACATAGAAGTTCGTGGTTGAGTCATAATCTTTCTGCCTTATCGGTGACTCAATAACATTATAATACTACTTTCTTACCGAGAAAAGTAATCGATATTACTTGACCTATTAATTCTTGCTTGGAGAGTGTAGAATCAAAACAAAACTCGTGACAATATTATATTTATTAGAAAATAATAATAGGTTCTTTTTTAATTTTTATAATTCTTGATATTTCATGAACTTAAGAATAATCATTTCATCGATTGTTGATTTGTTAAATACGTATGAAAGAAAAATGTAATATTATTTCAGATAACGGCTAGCGAAACATTAGCGGCGGAACGAGGAACAAGAGCAGACAAAGCTGAATCAATCGTGGAGGATTTACAGATGAAACTTGCCACACAGATTGCTATGGTTGAATCCTCGCAGGAACAGATAAAACGATATTCGAAGTAAATCCAGTATACGTAAACGTCAATTTAAACGTTATTCCAATATAAATTCCGCTTTGTAGAGAGTTGAAAGTTAAAGAGGATGAAAAAAACAAGTTGATTAAGCGTTTAAAATCGTCCGAAGATGCAGGTAGAAATCTAAATATGCGCGCCATTTCTTTAGAAGCACAACTGGTCGACCGAGAGATAGCCTTACAAAATATGCAAGCAGCGTATAATACACAATTGTATGTTTTTCTACCCGTTTTCCTTTTTTACTTTTTGAATGATATTATTTAATATTAAAATTAATTCGTTACATTAGAACCGAATTGAATGAATTGAGAGAACGTTTAATACGTCAATCTCAAGAAGGGGGATGGAGTAGCAGAATGTTGCAATTAGCTGGTAGCGTTGTACGAGCGCCAAGGGCTATATTACGTACTTTACTATCGGGTCCGGTGTTGGTTTCCTAAAGATAGCTTGGTAAGTTAAAGTTACATAAAATTATAGTATCTGTTAATAATATATAACACAATAATCGTTTGTTCTTATAATTTTAGTTGCTGTTCTTGTTCAAGCGTGATTGCGTTAAACAAAGTGTTTACAAAATGGAATTTCGAGGGTGATGGTGTTGGTTGTTCGATAAGAGGAGAGAGAGAAAGGGAAGATTTTACGTGTGAAAAGAGATTTTACGTTGAGGAAAAAGAGATATATGTGATCGCAAAGAGATGAAAGGAACGAAGATCAGTTTCAAACTTAGTAGTAAACTTTCCGGATACTTTTATCATCGGAATTATAATGTTTTTTTATTTATATTTTTTTTTTTTTCTATTCATATACTTTCTGATATCATAAGCTATATAAGCATTTTAAATTGAAAAGAAATGATATATTATAAAAAAAAAATTACTAATACTATGATATTATACCAATACTATGATGTACTGTAATAGAGTACAGACAACTATTCTGCGAAACCGAGGATGGATAAATAAATGCAGATGCTGTACATTTTTTAAATCTATATTTTATCTTTTTTTCGCGTAACATGATAAAATGATAAAAATAAGATACCGTCAGAATCGCTCGATGAAGATGATTTATTTCCTTTTATTATGCAATTTCATTTAAATACATTCAATAATCGATTAATATGTATATAGGCATAATTTCGATTGATCGTATTTTATGTAACATTTAAATATACATCTTTAACCGAGATAAAATAAATTTTTGTAATAGAGCGATACTCATGGTATAATATTTTTTTCAAAAACACGTTACAATAGATCGTAAAATCTAAGTAACCACGTACGAGTGACACAAATACGACGTGTCTGATCACATTTCTTATTATTATGTACTTAAGTACAAGATAACATTGATTTTCATTTTGTTCGATAACAATAATGATTTCTGCGGTATACTTTTTTATGCTTCTGCCAGTATAGTTAAACATCCTTTCTTATTTGAGGCTTTCGTACGGTAAGCGAAGATACGGCACAAATTT